GTTGTCTTTCTTACTGTTTTGAAGAATGGAGTAAATCAGAGTTGTTGTAGCTTTCTCTCAAAGGCCAAGCCTTAAAAAAATAAAACAAAAAGAGATCTCTGAGTTAGTATTCGCTTACATTCAGTCAAGAACCTTTCCTTTCTATTATACTTGTTCTTCACCATTTTTCAAGTTTATCAGATTCCATATAAGATAAACAAATTCTACATTTCAGTTCCTTATCAGCTGGCATTGTGATTTCTATGGCCTAGTTTTTTTCTAGGTCAGAAAACACCTCATGGTTGTACATGTTGTTGCCTTGTTGCAGGGAGGGTGGCTGATGCTAGATGTAATGAAAAAGGGCCTTGGAATCTCAGGCTGTAATTTCCAAGGCACATTTCTGTTCTCCTTGATTTCTTCAAACAATAGCATAATTAAATAGATTGCTTCCCTTGTTTGAAACTGCCAAGAATAGCTCATTAATATATTGAGTCTAATGCTATATATTTGCCTACCAATGATTCTCTCCTAGCCTTATATATTTCTTGGGCAAAGAGAAGTATGGGTCATGAGGAACCCTCTTATATTTCCCACTATCCAAGATCAGAAGAATAGAGCTGTCACCTATTCATTAGAAAGTGGGATTTCAGTCATAAATTGAACGTGCCTTGAGTTTAAAACCTAGATGTTCAAGGTGGAATGAAGAATCGTTGGACCTATTTACATGTATATATCTTAATTAATTAAACTATCATTCCTTTTCCCACATCTATTTTCAGTATGCCATAATTCACTGTAGGTTAATTAATCAGTTTTCTCTTAGGGTCTGAACTAGCAAATTATGGATAGAATTGGAGACAAACAATTATTTCAAAGAAAACGTACAGCAAGTATAAAGATAGTGCTGGGACTTGGTAGATAAAAGGAGGACTGCAAATAAAATTAAGTGCTTCCTTCTCCCAGACTGTTAGAAGTTTGATGCTACCAATTAAAATTTTTAAGGAATTAATGCTTTTTATTTCTGTATTGCAATATTAAAGAATGGTCTGCTTGATTTCATTCTTTTTCATAAAGTACATCTCATAAGAGGTCCTACAAAGCTATTTGAGGTCAGGAACTCTGCTTATTTTAAATGTCATGTAAGGTACAAATGATGAACCATGTTGGCAGGCCATTCTCCATGTAAAGACTTTCCATGATTTGCTGACATTACAAAGCTGTCGCAGTTTCATCTCTAGGTTCCTTTGCTCTGAATGTTGAGTAAGTGAGATCCTCTAGCCATATATGACTATAAAAATGAAAGATGGGTAGTTTTACTTCTGAGTTTTCCTACTTCTGTTATACATGGCCTTCAGTCAACTTGCTTCTTTTCCTCTTTTACTGTGCAATCTGAAGCATAAAAAATTATGGCTAATGGGTGGTTAGTAGCCTCAGGTCTCCTTGCTGCTTTGGAAGAAATTGCAACAGAACTGGCAGGAAGGGGCATCCCCACAACCTGCTCTGCATGGTTTCTACAGAGTCTTCTGCCTGTTGGCCCTGTTTAACATGAGAAGAAAAGCTTGTAGGTAAGAGAACTAGTTTTCCTTTCCACCTTTTAGTGTTGCAGCCTTCCATGATCCATAACTGACTACCCTGGGAAGTGATGCCTTTGGGGAAGCAGCCCATGTAGACATCCCATTGCCTCACTGTGCTTAGGTGGCTCGGCTGTGTGTGAATGTTCACGTTCAGTCATTTCACGGTGTGCTGTTGTCCCGCTCGCTTTTTGTTGTACGTGGCTGGCTGACTGCTGTTCTTATCATCTGTGATAGGCCATAGAAGAGGGTACCCTAGAGGAGATCGAAGAGGAGGTGCGTCAGAAGAAATCCTCCCGCAAGCGCAAGAGAGACGTGGATGTCAGTTCCTCAACCCCAACCACCAGCACTCGTAGCCGGGACAAAGACGATGACAGCAAAAAGCAGAAAAAGCGAGGCCGGCCCCCTGCTGAGAAGCTCTCTCCAAATCCACCCAACCTCACTAAGAAAATGAAGAAGATTGTGGATGCTGTGATTAAGTATAAAGACAGGTAACCGAAAGAAGGGACATTTCTCCCCTATAATTTTACATTTTCATATCCTCAGCCATCAGTATTTCTCCTCTGGACAGATGTTTGTTTAGCAGTATCTACATATTTATTGATTCTGCTGCCTCTGGACTTTGAAGGGGAATCCAGCATGATGTGAAATACTGGAATTTATGTGAAAAACCAAGACTACAGGTAGTCTTCGATTTAGGACCACAATTGAACCCAAAATTTCTGTCGCTCATTAAGACAGTTGTTAAGTGAGTTTTGCCTCATTTTATAACCTTTCCTGTCACAGTTGTTAAGTGGATTGCTGCAGTTGGCAACACAATTGTTAAGTGAATCTGGCTTCCCCATTGATTAGCTTGTCAGAAGGTGGCAAAAGGTGATCACATAACCCTGGGCCACTGCAACTGTCATAAACGTGAGTCAATTGCCAAGTGTCTGAATTTTGGTCACATGACCATGGGGATGCTGCAGTGGTTGCAAGTGTGAAAAATGGTCATAATTCACTGTTTTCGATGCCATTGTAACTTCAAACGATCATTAAATAAATTGTTGCAAGTCAAGGACCAACTTATGCATATCAGAGAGATAATGTTGAGAAGTGAAAAAGTGGAATGGAGTAATGGGAAGTGAGTATGAGTGTCATGCTGGAACAGTTACCCAATATATTGGCTGCCTTATGAGTGAAGATAAAGGTTTCCCCTGTCCAGTCATGTTTGATTCTAGGGGGCAGTGTTTATCTCCCTTTCTTAGTAGAGAAGCCAGTGTTGTCCAAAGACATTTCTGTGGTCATGTGGCGAGCATGACTATATGCCAAGGCACACAGAAAGCTGTTACCTTCCCATTGAAGTGGTACCTATTTATCTACTCACATTTGCATGCTTTTGAATTGCTTGGTGGGCAGGAACAGGAGCTTACCCCATCATGCAGCACTCGGGTCTTAAATCCGGCTGTCAGCTTTCCAGCTGATAAGTTCAGCATCTTTAACCACTGAGCCACCGCACCCCCTGCCTTATGAGTACAAAAGCTCAATTTTTCAGAGAGTCAGAGATGGTAGCAGCAAACCACTCACAATGTCTTCCTCCCCTCCATGAATCTTTTGCACAATTGGAACTACAACTTTCAGAATTCCTAGCCAGTTTAATGTCCCATTATATCTGAAGGGCATCATATTGGAAAAGGCTAACATTGATCCTTTCTTCTAAAACTATTCTCTGCCAGAGCCTCACAGCTCTGAATTTTCATTACAGTAAACATAATTGTTGCCTAATGTTAGATAAAACTATTAAGCTTCCAGTCTTGACAGACCTATGACAAGCAATTCACTTCCCTCTCTTCTATTGTGAAATAAAGCTTTGGTTTTAACAGATATTGTTTCTCAGGTCTGATTCACCCCATCAGTGCTGCTCTCCTGTGTTTTGACAGGCTTCATCCATTGCATGCCAAGATTTCAAATTCTTCAGCTAATGTAATGCTTCAGAGCCACATCAGAAAATATTTGTATGATTAAACCTTAACAGTGGGGGAGGAGAGCAATTTTCAGTAGGAAGATAGTATGCCAGAATAAGATACCAAACTTTTTCTTTCCAACCATAATTTAAATTTTCCTACACATTATATACATAAAAATTGATTTGTTGTGCTTCATATTAATAAATACACATTAATCCTGCAGATAAAATAAGCTGTTTCTTGGCTCCTCCGTAGCTACTAATGCAGCATATCAGCCATTAGTAGGTGCACTTTAGTAATATAAAATAGAATTGTCTCCATATTTCACTTCACTTCTTCAATCCCTGACAGCCAGGGCAGGTGCCTCTGAACTGGCCTGCATTGGGAAAGGCAAGCCATGTTTTAGATGTTTTCCTTCACCTTGCCTTGTAGCAGCAGTGGACGTCAGCTTAGTGAAGTCTTCATTCAACTGCCTTCTCGAAAAGAGCTTCCAGAATATTATGAACTCATTCGCAAACCAGTGGATTTCAAGAAGATAAAGGTACCTTAGGAGTTGTTTATCTTTCTCTAATTCAGAGAAGGGCCCAATGTTTGTTTATTTGCTTACTTGACTTATATCCCATCTTTATTTATGCAACTCAAGGCAGCACATATAATGCTCATACCTCCTATTTTCCCCACAACAACCACCTTTAAGGTAGGTTGGGCTAAGAAAAGGAGTGACCCAAAGTCACCCAGCTGTCTTCTATGCCTAAGATGGCACTAGAAAGCCAGTTGCTAGTTCAACATTTTAATACCAAAGTGGCTCTTGATAACAGGAATGATAAAATAGGCCTGCCCATCTTAAGCAGGATGCAGCACCTTGGATTTGATCCAAATAGGGTAGTTTTGCCTCATGTGAGCAAACAAACCTGAGAGAAGCTGAGTGACCCATAACCACAGCCAATTTCATTTCCCATACCCACTTAGCAGATGATATCCAGTCAGGTTGAGAAGACTGACTTGACATTGGTCATGTGATGGGGAAACCACCTACTGCAGTTTCTGGTCATGTGATGGGAAAGCCACCTACAAGAGTTTTCTCACAAGATCACATGCCTACCTTCTGTCCCTTTGTTTAGAAGAGCAGGCTGAGCCCTGTAGTTTAATGCTTACAACAAGGTTAGTAAACTGATTTCCTAGTGCAGCTTAGTTTAACATGTGCCATTGAAATTTCTAACTGGGATGCCCATCATTCTGCATTATTTCCGAGAACACTTTCTGATGCAGCTAGATGGCTTGTAAATAAGTGTTGCACATAACTATAACTTTGGGAAGGTATATAGCCCATTTGAAAAATGGAAATACTAGCCATCAATATTGCACTATATCTTTTTAAAGCTGTGTTATAGGGTATGTCTTAAATAGTTCTTAATATATTTTAATGCATTAAATTGTATACATTCAAAGAATGCAATAGCATGCTGGTTTCCTGAACTGGATGGTGGAAGACTTTGTATAGTTTGTAGTATCTCTGATTTACTGAATGAAGCCCTTCTATGTTAGAGAAGGTAACTTTTTAAAACCTTCAGTGAATCTTATTTGCTTATTTAGATAAATTTAGATTTTAATTTCAAAATGCCCTCCCTTCAACAACAACAAAAAGATTCATGTGCATATTAGATCCTGAGTTATTCCCCTTTGTATTTTAATTTTGTAAGATAGCATTACATCATCTTGAGGCTTTCAAACTAGTTTCCGGACAAAGGGGATAGTTTGGATTACCAAAGATCCACCTAATCATCAATTGAGTCACACAATTAGGGATTTCCCTTGAGGCCTTTTAAGGGCCAAAATCTCAGACAGACATCTTGCTCATTCAGTTGTGCAAGTTCATTTGTTCAACAATCAGAGTTTCAGTCAATACCCTCACAAAACCAGTATTATTGAAATATTGTATAATTGTGTATAAATATTGTATAATTGAATATAATTGTACAATGGATGTTTCTACATGTCTTTTAAGTGAATTAACTGCACAGGTGTTTTACAGAATCCATACTGATCTAACTATCTCTGTCTGTGTTCTTAATTTTAAAAGAATTTTTGAGGATACTATCCCTTTCAGCTTTAAGAATTGCTCCTTTTTCTCTCTCAATTGCTGAAATATGCATACGTATAGGGGCATCATCTCACTCTGATGACAAGTGAATGAAGGCAGGAATCTGAAACTTTTGTTCAATAAAACATTGTTTTTGTTTCTCCTCTGCCCCCCACTTCACTTTCAGGAGCGTATCCGGAACCACAAATATCGCAGCCTAAATGATTTGGAGAAGGATGTCATGCTTCTATGTCAGAATGCTCAGACTTTCAATCTTGAAGGATCACTGGTAAGACATCTTCCTGCAGTTAGAGCACATTCTTGACACTAAAAAAGTGTATGGTTACTCCATATGGCGGGTTGAACTAATTCTCCTTTAGTTAAATAAGTTAGGACAATTGAGATGCGTTTTGAGAGATGCATAGTTTCTGTGCTCTGTAAGCAGATGGGTTCAGTACTTTTTATAATACCATGGTTGTAGACAAAATTCATATAGCAAGAATTCCTTTGCAGAGGTATGACAAACCATTAGTCTTAAATAATGGATAAGAATTATCAGGAGATAATGAGTTTTATGAATCTCTTAAAGCTCTTTTCTATTCTCTCACACATCCATAACCAAGCTTTAGAAATTCCCTTCAATTTACCTGTCATATATGTATATATGTATGTATGTATGTGTGTGTGTGTGTGTGTGTAGGTCTTTGGTTATTCGGGTTTTCTCCCGCGTCAAATTGGAAGTGTCTTGTCGATGTTTCAATGAAGTCTTATTCGTCATCTTCAGGCTGGTGTCTTTGGCTTCGTGCTTCTAGAAGCACGAAGCCAAAGACACCAGCCTGAAGATGACGAATGAGACTTTGTCGAAACGTCGACAAGACACTTCCAATTTGATGCAGGAGAAAACCCAAAAAACCAAAGACCTACACACAAACACCCGCGAAAACCTCAGAAAACAAATATATGTATGTATGTATGTATGTATGTATGCTGTTTCAAATGCTAATGCAACCAACTGAGTAGATGGTCTTAGGGCAACCATTTTTTTCCATCTTCTCCCCAATTTCATATGGAACACAAGGTTGTTGGAAAATTAGAGCAAGATAGATATGATAGGATAGAACTCAAAAATGTTCCATAAATCCCCAATACTATTAAGAATGGCCCCATTTTTTAAAGCAAAACCATCATAACAACTAAGGGCATGGACTGAAAATAAATATAGAACTTAGCCCAGTGGGATGAAAGTGTTAGATCAATCATAATTTCTACATCTTCCTTTCTTCTATGGTTTCCTGCAGATTTATGAAGACTCAATTGTTCTGCAGTCTGTCTTTACTAGCGTGAGGCAAAAAATTGAAAAAGAGGAAGACAGCGAGGGAGAAGAGAGTGAAGAGGAGGAAGAGGGAGAAGAGGAAGGATCTGAATCAGAATGTGAGTGTTTTTTTATTCAGCATTATTTTCTTTGCAAAACAAATGTGTAAAATATTTAGAAAGAAATTAAATCAGATTGAATTGAACTCCTAGTAACTTCATGGATACATCTGTGTCATTTTCCTGGTAGCAATACGGAAGTAATGTGTCTTCTCTGGGATACTTTTCAACTTCAGTGATAGAACTATAGAGTTGGAAGGTACCTTAGAATAGGGCTTTTCAACTGGTAGTACATGTACCACCAAGTGGTACATTGGCACATGGCAGGTGGTACATGGCCCTGCCCAGCCTAGCCAAGTGTAGTGGGGGAGGGAACAAGCCAAAGCACAGCACAGGACTTATCATGAGAGAGTCCTCGGGACCTGCAGGGCTGCTGGAGTGAGGCAAAGGCCCCAGGATCGGCAGTTCCAGCTCACCCGGAAGAGAAAGGAGAAGGGGGCGGAGACAGGAGAGGCTATAAAAGGAGACAGTTTGGGCGGGAGAGGGAGAGAAAAAAAATGCAGCCTTGGGAAGAGGAGTCAAACAGGCCAGCTAGGAGCAGATCTGGCGCTGAGGTGGCGCAGCAGTTAGAGTGCAGTACTGCAGGCCACTTTAGCTGACTGTGTTCAGCAGGTCAGCAGTTCAATTTTCACCTGCTCAAGGTTGACTCAGCCTTCCATCCTTCCGAGGTAGGTAAAATGAGGATCCAGATTGTTGGGGGCAATGTAAAATATATATATACATTGCTTACTGGTGTACACCGTTTAGAGAGTGCTTGCACTTAAAGCGGTATATAAGTCTCATAAATAAATAAGTTCTGTGGCAGCCATCCGTGCTGCGCACGCACACAGGTGGCAGCGACAAACAGGCAAGAAACGCAGCTGGGGAGGGGTCACCCTCCATGAGGAATGAAAAAAGGCAGCATCGACTGGAGGTGAGGCACGGAGGGAGTGAGGAAGAAGATGGCAATGAGAAAGAGGGAGGTAGAGAACAGGAGGGAGGGAAACAGAAAGGAAGGAAGTGTTGAAAGAAAAAGCCGGGGGCTTGGTTTCCAGCTGAGAGGCTATACCTTTAAGAGAAAAGAAAAAAAAATGAAGCACCACCGTTTGAAATAGGTGAAAGGAAGCCGGCTCGAGAGGAGATATTTATTGGCAGAAGCAAAGTGCTGTTTCAGCAGTTCGATTTTGGATCAGCTAAACAACAAACCGGGAAAGTGGAAGGATTTTTATGTGATTTTGTGACTTTGAAGTTCTGGGATTTGTGCAATGTGGGCTTTGTGTTCTTAAGGATTGTTTGGCAATTTCTATTGTGGCTGATGGCTGATGTCCCGTGTTGGATTTGGGGTTCTAACTCTGTTGCTTTGCTATTGTTAGCTGTAAGTTTTGCTGCAAGGGATTTTGAAATATTTTTGTCCTAAATGGATTTTGCCTGTAGCATTTATTTACTTATGAATGGAGCCATTTGGGGAGGCTGCCTTAACTGGTAGCCAGTACTTGCTACATTTGTGGTGGTGGTTGTTTTTCTTCAGTGCCGGCTGCCGGCTCCTTTCCTTTCTAGCCAGTAGTTAATTCTTAAAAGGGAATGTGCCTTTTTAAGCTAGTTCCCTCAGCGGCTTGTCTTTTCTGTCTCTGGAAGCTTTTCCTTGTTCGATAAATATATGGAAGAGAAAAAATATGGGGGCGGGGGTTCAAATTCTTTCTTCAGAAGGAAGGAGATGGGAATGAGAAAGAGGAAGGCAGGGAGGGAGGGAGGGAAGGAGATTGGAATGAAAGGGAGGGTCTGAAGGAAGTCCCGCCTTCGCCACCAGCAGCCCTGCCATTGACCTTGGGACACTGTGACCATCATAAATATGAATCAGTTGCCAAGCATCCAAATATAAATCACATGACCCTGGGAATGCTGCAACGGTCGTAAGTGTGAAAAATAGTCATAAGTCACTTCAGTGCCATTGTAACTTTGAACAGTCACTAAGCGAATTGTTGTAAGTCGAGGACTACCTGTACCTTATCCCTTTTTTCTTTTGGGGGGGGTCATCAAGTTTTTGACACTTGTACTCAAATATTGCCATATCCTAAAAGTGGTACAGTTGGTGAAAAGGTTGAAAAGCCCTGCCTTAGAAGTCATTCAATCCCCTACTCAGTGCTAGATCTATAAGAGAATCTCTGACAGATGCCCCTCCAACCTTCCTTTGAAATCCTCCATGAAGAGCTCATGTCCTATACTGTTTCAGTAGCAGACAGCTTGTAACCAGGAGGTTCCTCCTAATATTTGCCCCAAATCTTCTTTCTTGTAGTTTTAACTTATTGGTTCGTGTTCTTTCCTGTGGCTCAGTAGACATGTGTTTGCAGCCCTTCTGGCAACATATCAGAAGGTGGCTATTATATCTTCTCTTAAGTCATATTTCTTTAAACTAAAGATATCCATTTTTCATAGGGCTTGGCTTTCAAACATTAAACATCTTAAGTGGCCTTAGTGGCCATTTTATGAACTTGTTCTAATTTGTCCCTGCCTTTCTTGAATCTTGGTGCTCAGAGCTGGATATAATATTCCATGTTCCTGATATTTCTGACCCTGCATCCACCTGTGATCCTGTTTGGGTTTTGGAGATAGCAAGACCTGGCTAGGCACTTCTTGTTAAGCATAAGGAAAAAGTACGAAAATTATGATGGGCTGACAGAGAAAATATCTGAAAGCCATTAGAGCCATCAAGAAAGGCTGACATTTGACAGGGTTAGGGTCCAGAGCTTGTGAGGAAAGCCTCATCCTGCCCTTTTTGCACCATCCTTATGTGTACATAAAAGGCTGTTCGATTTTTTCATAAGAAGAAAAAGAGTTTTTGGTGTGATTATTTCACAAAACAAGCTAGGTTATTAGGCTTAGGAATACAGTGAAGCAGATTAATGGAGTGTTTGGAAATACAGATATATAAGTAAAATTGTGTCTATGTCTCACGAAAATTAGGACAGATTTCAACCTGTTTCAGTCATAATTCATAATGGAACAGGAACATAAACTCATAGCCAGCTTTTCAGTCTCGCTCTGTTCTTCCCAGCTCGTTCTGTCAAAGTGAAGATTAAACTGGGCAGAAAGGAAAAAGTACCAGACCGAATGAAAGGCCGCAGACGCACCAGCCGTGGGTCCCGGGCTAAACCCGTGGTTAGTGATGATGACAGCGAGGAAGAGCAAGAAGAGGTAGGTAAAACAATAGATTTTTTTCCCCTAAGGTGTCATCAGTGATCCCAGGAGGAGAGATCTAGTGCTTTTGTTGGAGAGAGATGGTCAAAGAAAGAGAGGGCATTTTCCATTTAAATAAGCAGAACGAAAACACAAAACCAAGTTCTACTTTTCAAAAAGCTACATGGTACACTGAGTAAAAAATTTAGACCTTAGTTCATCCATGAGATTTCCTGGATCATTACTGTTCTTTTGCCTGCCTACCTACTTCCCAGGACAGTCAGGAAGATACCTGATACATTAAGGTACAACTAAAAAGTATTTTCCTCTTCTCTCCTAGGATCGCTCAGGAAGTGGCACAGAAGATGACTAGGTGACATTCCATGATGGAGACCTCAGGCATCAGTTTTTCCAAAGCAGAGGTGCTCTAGTCCTTTAGCTGCAACGGGTAGAAAGAAAAGTAGTGTTGGATGTGGGTAAACTGTATAAATTCTTCCATATTTATACTGCAGTGAAGATGTAGGACTTACTTGTGTCTTGCCTTGTCCTCACATCAGTAGCGTTTGTAACAGCATTAACTGTTGTTTTTTTTTAAAAAAAAATTATGACTGGGGGAACACTTGATTTTTTTTAAAGGCAGTACTATTTTCAGTTGCAGTATTGAATCACTGTAGTTTTAACCTGTGGGTGCATGTGTGTAAGCAGTCCACTTCCTAGTACTGTATTTTATGAAACAGGTCAAACAGCCAGCTGCTCCCCCCAAAGCAAGGAGAGGGTGGCAGGGGTAACTGTGTCAGTGTCACTGGATTTCAAGCAGTAATAAATTAAGCAAAACAAACAGTAATAAATTAAGCAAAACAAACAAACACCCCACCATCACCGTGGTGCATTTGTTAAATGTGCTTCTCTTTTACTGTAACATCTGGAAAGCTCCTCCCATCAGCTCAGTAAGGTCTGAAATGTATCCATCTTCTGATCCATTCAGAGAATACAGAATAACAGAGTTGGAAGGAACCTTGGAGATTTTCTAGTCCAACCCTCTGCTCAAGCAGGAGACCCTGTATCGTTTTAGACAAGTGGCTGCCCAGTCTCTTCATGACTATGACAACTATGATTATGGCCTGCTTAAAATGGCTGTCCAGATGCTCCTAAATCCCCATCTGGCTTCTCATCTGTAGTAATATTCAAAGGAGATGGCAGGTTGCAATATCTTATCATTCCAGATTGCACAAGAGATTTTGATCAGGCCTGTTTTTGTAAAACAGATATTTAAAGAATTTAAAGATGAAAACATCAGAACACATCTTTAAAGCATTTTAGCTTTTATTCATTTTGTCTCTGGTACTTTATTCTCATTCTGAAAGTCTCTGCTTCTTTTATCCACATCTATGTTTGTGGGCGATCATCTTGCATGACCTGCTGGGCGATGGAACAATATTCGTGCTTTAGCCAAAAACAAGAGAGGGGAGGAAGTCGCTCCATTTCAAATTGAGTTACTTTCTGGACCATGTATTCTGTAAATCTACAGAATTATGATACACATGTGGAAGTTACTTAGTAGGTTTGTGGTTGCTGTGGTTTAAGACATGCTGTATTTAACAAAGCCTTGTTAAAGGCTTTCCAATTACTCAGAAGGGGCCAGGGAGGCTTATCTTTAGATCAGCCTATTTCTCTCACACTCATAGAATTTGCACACTAAAAATATTTCCTTGGAATACCCAGATTTTGGAAACTTATACAAAATAAACACTGTATACATTTTTATTACAGGAAAAGAATTTCCTTCTGTATTTTTCCATATAACTCATGTAGCCCCTTGGAATTGTTATTATGTAACAGGAAAAAGATAGTGATGGGAGCAGTCCAGAACACAAAGAAACCATTGCTGGAAATTAACTTTCTGAAAAATAAGGAGACCAACGCAACAGCACAACTCCCTGCATTATGCTATGTAGGGAGTTAATATACTGTGAAGAAGATAGGTAGGGACATTATTATGCTTTCGAATCAATCTCTTTCCCAATTAATTGAATTCTGCTCCCTTAATAATATAGACAAGCTTAGCCAATTAAAGTCCGTATCCTGTTGTATCACAATCCGTATAGTTCTGTACCAAGGAGTGGAAGCTTTTCCAAATTGTGACATCACGGCAACAGATGGTACCACCCCCACGGTGTTCCTCTGCATGATTACGGTTCATGTCTCCAACACAGGCCCACTCCGAATCACTCTCTATTCCAACACACCACTTGGAATGGTCCGATGTGGAAAAGAAGGTGGTGGCTGGGTCCTGGAATGCCAGTTGCTTCACATTGTAAACTCTGTATTGTCCAGAGCAGTTGGATGCCAAAACACCATGAGACTTGAGCCAGAATTCAACATAGAGATCAGTAGCAAGAGCCTGGGCCAACCAGCCAGAGTACAGATCTGGGGAGATGAAATACAAGTAGTCCTTGAGTTACGAGTGTAATGAAGCCTGCCCATTACACTTGTAACTCGAAAACTTGTAGAGTGAATCTCGTACCTCAAATGAAATTACTCCCTTGCTCATTAAAATGCACACAGCTCGTTAAGCAAACATAAGTTATCTCAGAGTGGGGAAGGTCATGGAGGGCCTAGTGATGGAACAGGGCCTCCAAGGCCTCCCTGACCCATAAGATACCACATGCTTCCCCCCCCCCTTCCTGCTGCACCGGACTCACTTCGAAAAGATCGTATCCTCTCTGCTGCAGTTTTTGCTGCCGCCCAGATCTGAGGCTGGGGAACACTTCTGGATCTTGCCACAGCCCGATCCGGACTCTGGAGGCCTTTTCCAGGCCATTGCTGCCTGGATTTGAGGCCAGGGTGGGGTGCGGAAGCCCTGAGCACGTGGAAGTGTCCTCCAGCTTCGGTTCCGTTCTCTGTTGCAGAGAACAGAGGCCTAAAGTACCATGGGATCACGCGAGATCAGTAGCGTGAGATCTCGCCCCACTGACCTCGTGTGATCTTGGGGTTACTTTAGGCCTTCATTCTCTACGAACTCACTGAAGGCCTGGAGCAGCTAAGAAAGTGAAGGATCTCGATCTTTGCAGGGTGAGTATTGAAGGCCTGGTGCCTAAGGAAAACCAGGGGGCGGGGAGGGAGGGAATAACCAGGGTGAATGTTGCAGAGCCACTGCAGTCCCTCATAAGAGCTATAATATTTGTAACTTTGTGACTTGCTCATAAGCACTTGGGTGCGCTCGTCACATAACTTTAAATGAGCATTAAGTGAATGCTCGTAACTCAGAGATTACCTGTAATTGCAAATGAATTTATGAGCATAGTTTTGATATAACTCGATGGCCATATTCCCTCTCTAGTAACTCCACTGCTTTCTACACCTATCTTCCCCCATCATTACTTACCATCATCAAAGAAACGGAATTTTGCAAAGCTGACAAATTCCTTGCCCCCTTTTGATGTCAGAGTCACCGAGGAGTTCCATGGCTCCTCCTGTACATGTTTCCCCTCAGAAGCATTCAACAAGGCAGGCAGATCCCGGGCAAAGGCCCCTGGCACCTGGTAATCATAGACGTGGGGCTCCGTGAAGAGCAGCTGATTCCCTAAGGCGGAAATACAGTGTACAGTGTTAGATTTATTGGCTGGGAGCACATTATCATCCTGCCAGGAAAAAAAAAACATTTTGACACCTCAGAACAGCTAAGGATATTTCTGTACTGCTAGGATCTCCAGTCTCACAAAGGCCCATTGTTTTTTCCATTTGCCAAAGTTGACCAGCAATTCCTCCACATGGTCTACACGAGAACGCCAAAACTGGCCTAGCAACATGTTGCCACATCCGCACTCTCACCATGCTTGTTTGTTTAATGAAGCTAAAAAAAAAAAAAAAACACTATTAACTGACTGGTTTTCCAAGGCACCTTATTGACTGCTAGGAAGGGGAGAAGGCTGAAAGACAGGGACTCTTGAAAACAAACTGCAATCCAGATTTTGGGGATTTGGAGCAGCTGAATACAACTGCTAATGTTGGAAGCTAGGGATACAGCACTACCCTGTGTGGAATCTGCCTCAGTTTCTCCATAGGAATACTGTGCTTCTTGAAATGGAATCATGTTGAGAAATGGTGATGGTCTATTGCTTGTTCATATGCTATTCCTTTGTGGAGACAAGGGACAGAGTGTTCTTCATTTTTGTGGGGAGGCTTGGCTGGCATGGTTAGATGACTGAATGACATATTGACACATGCATTTCAAGGAAGCTAGTGTCAAAATGTTTGGCTGGAATTCTTCCTCATAAATTTTTGTACTCCTTGAACAATAATTTTAGAAGTTATGCTTCTTAGGAGCATGAACCTATAAATTTCTCTTTCCTCCGTTTCCATGGTAATAGCTCTGCTGTCTTGACTATCCTATCTACATCTTCATAATCCATTCATTCTCCTGCACAAGCCACAAGTTCGGGAAGATTTTTGTTTGGGAAAGACATTTTAGCACTTCCTAGCCAAATGCCCTGAAATAATCCCAAGATTTTCATTTTCATTTTCAGCATGGAGTTTTTAAATATCCTAACATTCCCCAGCCCTCACACCTACCTATGGCTTTGAACTGGCTATAGGGGTAGGTGACACATAGAAAGCTCTGTCCATAAGTCAGGGCAGTGTGGGGCCATGCATACGTCTTCTCATCCAGTCTGGAAGGAAACCAAGGTGTGCTGTGAACAAGCCAGAATCCTTGAGTTCTGTCCAGGAAGATGACCCCTGGGAGGGGAAGAGAAAAAACCAAAGCATGCAGTCAACCTCTGTCCAGCTGTCTTGAAGTTCCAGAAGTGCATCACAAAGTGGCTTGTCTGCTCCACCATAGACTAAACTGAAGAAAAGTCACAGGTCACAGTAGTCTCTTTCTTTGAATACATTTGATGCAAGGGCACTACCTTTTGTATGACCCTTAGAACCAGAGAAATTCTCCTTTGGAGGCTCATCGTTGTACAGGACATAGGCCATCTCTTCCTCCCTCTGGAGGGAAAATAAAACACACGTAGAGCAAGATTTTTCAAAAAGAACTTGAGTAGCTTCATGAGAGATTAACAGTAAAAAGAGATTCACTTGAATGCAGACCTTTAGGTATCCATAGCAATTTTTTAAGGGGATGACATTTGGTGACATTTCAAACCTTTCTCCCCAGGGGGTATTTATGTCCATGACTTATTGTTTTACATCTTGACTAGAGGTTCTGGGATTTTTTTTTAAACTAACAAGATCCACCCATGTGAAAAAGTATGCAGCCTGACCCAGCCTCAGTAATGTGGCCTTTACCACAATTTTGCATCCAATCCCTTGGTCCTACTTGTGATGAGACAAGTAGCCATTGGTGTGATTCAAGGGAAATTCAAATAGAAACTGGGTCTTTTCAGTGAGAACCATATTACCCCATGATCACAATTTTTAATTTGGGATCATGAGAAACTGAAACTGCTCTTTCTGCAGACTCACCTGCCTGCTTGCAGCCTCCAGATACAGCTGATTCAGTGTTCTGCCCACAGCTCCCTCAGTACTGTTCATCAAGCTCCTGCCTTGCACCCAGCCCTGGGTATGTCCATCTTGATACATGTACCGCATGCCTTCTACTGGGGAGCTGTGACGGGACTTGGGCAGCTTGTAAACAATAAACCTGTAAAACAGGCCTTTAGAAATCGCAACCAGCCCGTGGATGAGAAAACTCTGTATTTAATTTCTCTGAAGTGTGCAATGTGACTTCACTGTAGGATTGAGAAAGGAAAGGAAATGAGGAGATAGAGCATATTAGGGGTGTAAACTCCTGAGGCAATCTAGGGAAGTGGAGACTCACAGGATTTCAAAGATAGCCTCACTGAGAAATAAGGTTTTTCTCAG